GGCAGATAATATATGACCATCAAGTCCTTCTTGTTACCCAAGTGCCTTGGGTTGGGGTTCTGCTAGAATGCTTCTTCCTGTAATGTCCTGGGTGTCCAGTCAACCAATGAAAATAACTAGGACAGCATGCACAACCATACAGTCATCAATGAAAGACTTAGGAGAGGAGATATGGGAGGAGTCCTCTATTATAAAAAATTCCCTTTGAAAGGACTCCATTGGACTCAACTTTTGGGCCCCCTCTTTAGGACAGTCCTTTGCTACCTTCCTTTTGCTACTTTCCTTTCTCTTAAATAAACTTGCTGCCTACTTTAAACACTTTCTTGCCTTTTAATTGTTTAGTGGGGAGAGAAAACAAATTGATACTCCTAGATGACATCAAGAACTGGGACATTCTGGTTTAATCTGCAAGAAGTGTCTAGTAAATGGTGCTGTAGATAAACAAATGGACAGAGGGATGGATAGTCCTAATTCTCTCAAAGTGGAAATACTATGAAACAGAGACACCATGGATACAAAAATAAATACCACTTCCCTCTGGAGTTTTGGCAGAAACGTCCCCCTTTAGTTACATAAACACATACGTAAAGAGAAAAACTGGCTGAAGGAAGTGAGATGATCAGATGACATTAGTCCTGGCCACAGCTGGCCACAGCAGAGGAAGGACTATCCTGGGTTCCAGGGTGGGCTACAGCCACAATGACAACCATGCCACTTGAGCTTTTTGTGATGAACTCAGCTCACACCCACAGTCTCCTAATCTGATTAAGAAGGAAGTGGCTTGGAAAGCAATGACATGTTTTTTAAGTTGTTTTGACTGTAGGAGATGAAAAAGCACAAAAGAAAATTTCCCTTGGAGATCAGCTCTGGTTGCTTGTGCCTGCAATCTTAGCTATTCAGGATACTGAATTCTGAGCATAGCTATGTGAAGCCAGCTTAGGCAGATAAATCTGAGATATTCTTAGCTCCAATTAACAACAACAAAAAGCCATAAGAGGAGATGTGTCTCAAGTGGTAGAGCAAGTACATTGAGCAGAAAATGCCAAGTAAGAATTTAGATAGAGATGATAGATAGATAGATAGATAGATAGATAGATAGATAGATAGATAGATAGATAGATAGATAGATATAGAGATATATCCTACACGGATCTCTTAGGCAATTAGTGGTAGCAACATCTCAAATCCTACCAATTACACATAAAGCTATTATTGAGGGACCTACTGTGCACCAAGCCAGTGTGGGGTTTTTATTTCTGTTTTTGCATTAAAATCCATGTGTGTGATAATATTGAACATTTTATCACAAGTTAATAGCATATTGTTAAGTATAGCTTAGGGTGGAAGTTAAATTTTATTTTCATTCAAATTAAAGAAATATTTAGAAGATCACATGATTTACTCAAGTAGCAGAATTAACAGATTCAAATCTAGATTTACAATACAATGCTAAGTTTAAATGAGAAATATTTAGATGAGTTTATAAGAAAGTGGGATGCTGGATGAATTGGTTCTCCATGTGACTTATATACAGAAATACAATGATCACAGGCATTTGTGTTTTGCTTTACTGAACCACAGTCTATAAATCATGAGCTTTGGTTTGTTTTATTTCTTTCTCTTATTACTGAAAATCCATTTGTTCTAACATATGTACAGTTTTTCCTCCTTCTCCTCTTCCTCCTCCTCATCTTCTCCTTCTCCTTTGCCCTCTTTTCTTCCTTCTCCTCCTCCTCATTCTTCTTCCTCGCTCCCTCCCCCCACCTCTATCTCTCAGTTTTAAAGTGCTACAGATAGAATCCAGGCCTTTACATGTGCTAGGAAAGTGCTCTACCACTCAGCTACCTTCCCTAGGTCTTCACAATCTTATATCTAGCGCTCCATATACTCACCTGGATGTCTGCCACACTATTTACCATTCTGCATTTCTTCAATTGGTACCTTGTAGAATACTTCTAGACAAAGTATTATAAAATAAGACTAAACATTTTTTAGGCACAAATTTAGTGAGAACTAAACAAAATCTAATATCACAAAGAGGCGCATTTCGAACAGATGCATACAAACAGTACTAGCTAGAACTCCATGACTTGAGAACTCATGGCTCAAATATTCAGATCATCCTGCTACAGGCATGCTGGTAGAGGCTTCTGAATTTCCAGGGAATAGTATTCTTAAGGAAAAAACCCAATTGGAATTGCAACTTAGAAAATGACCCATTTGGTCTCTAACTTGATTTGGAAGAACCTGTGTAAGAGGAATGAGCAGCCTTTTCCATCTCATGACTGAAACAGCCCCACAGTTTATTTCCTGTGAGACTATAGATGTTAAAAAGCAAAAATAATGAAACAATCTCTTCCATGTCTGAGTAAGTGAGAACAGCAAAGTAGAACCTTCCCATCAATGTCCATGGGGGGGAAAAAAAACAGTGCATTGAAATCTCTCCCATTTGGGCCTTGTTGAAAATTGCTCTGGTTCAGAACTCTGCCACTCTGTCAGCTTGACTCCCCTCACCTTTGCCATTTACTTGGTCTAAGGATGATAATTCCAGTGATGTGAAGTTTCTTACTAATTTAACTTAGAGGAAATATCTGTGGGCCTCTGCAGCATGAGACACAGTCAAAAGAATGTCAAAACTTACTTCAGAATCATGGGCTGTACACAGACCACCTTTTCCAAGAATCCTTTATCAAAGCTCCTAAGCTGACCTGTCCTACAGAGGAGTAAACAGCTGTCTAGTGAGCCACACTGAAACCCAGCCAGTTATGGGGGATGGAATTAAACACTAGACTATGGTGTTAGTCACAGTATCTACACAGCTTACCTATTGGAATGCAGAAAAAGTTTCCTGTGTCTAAGTACAGTATTATTATGATAAAACACTTTCATTTTGGAAAAACCTAGCATTTGCAAGGGAATATATTCTCTCCATAATGTGATATCCCAAGGTAGGTTCAAGTCACATGAAATGGTTCTGGAATAAATCATTTCAAATTCCCACTAAAAGTCATCTAGAGAAAATCAGAAAAAGGTACTTATTAGCTGGGTACCAGTGGCTCACACCTACAATCCTAGCTATTCAGGAGGCTGAGATATGAGCTCAAAGGCAATCTGAGCAGACAAATATGAGACTCTTACCTCCAATTAACCACCAAAATGCTAAAACCAGAGGTATGGTTCAAGTGGTAGATTATCAGCCTTGAGTGAATAAGCTAAGGAAGAA